AAAAAAAAAAAAAAAAAAAAAAAAACATACTTCCTCTTCGCTGCAATCGGGTCGTTGTTCCGCGACGACGCATATTCGTTCATCTCTCAGGACACGTACACTGAAAACAGCTATTCTTCCGCGATAAATAAATTTCATGGGTTCGACGGCCAACACTGTAGCGATAATATCGTCGGCGTTATGCTTCCTTCCGGTGACAGTCATAAGACCATCGCGCGACCCGCAAACGAACACAAGACCACCAGGACCCAGGAAACCCAATAAACCAGAACGAGTGTATTCCACATCGCCAAGCGGACTTCCATCGGCTTGAAGAGGGGAAACTTTGAACGTGTTATTTGTCAATCCTTGTAATCCCCAATATTGGTTTCCGGTTGCTGAACTATGCACGCATATCTCGCCAACTTCGTCCGTTTTGCAGATGAATGGCTGTCCTTCCATTTTGATTACCACTACGATACCTAGAGAAGAAAAGCATTGTCAATTTGATTTTTTTTTTAATTATTATGGAAGTGTTGAGAAGTCGAAATACGATATTTCTTCTTGAATTATTTCATGCAAGTTGTAAATATCATTTTTCAAATATCAGATAGATTTGATGTAAGTTATGATCAATTTAAGATATTTATAATTTACAAATACAATTTTAACAAAGTAATGTATATGTATTATCATATATGCAACGTGTATTATTATATATAACAATTAAGAAATGATATAAAGAAAATTGAAAAATAAATTTACAATACAAAAATACGATAAAAAGAATATTATATATTACTAATATATCAAATTATATTAAAAAGAAAAAAATTTATTGTCCTTGTTGTGCGATAATCATAAACATACAATTATTTCTAATTACTCAAATATTATTATTGAAAGTTAACAATTAGAAATTATTTTAATTTCTAATTATTCTTATTTTCACTAACAAATATAATATTTTCAGAGAATGTAAGATTAAAGGATTCTGTTTAAATTATATCATATAACTATTTTGTCTTCAAGAAAAGACATTAATCACACAATAATAAATGTCTCAAATAATCAAAAGTCAATATAAAGTCTGATTAATTCTCACACTTTGTGTTCACTTAAATCTATTTACTGTGAAATTCATTTTTAAAATTGGAATTTTTAAATCATATTTAGAAACTTAAGATACATATTCTCATTGTGCGACAATTAATCAAATATTACTATACATGGATGTTTATGCTAAAACTTACTTCCAGGCATGACTTGGCCGCAATCTTGAAGAGTCAAAGAGGTAAGAGAATTCTCTTGATCTACTCTAACAACACCGTAACTCAATCCAGACATAGAGAGCACACCACGTCCAGTAGCGTTTACTCCAGCTCGGCCTGGTCTCCTGACCGATACTGTTAGAGCTTCGCTGGAAGATGCACAAGGGCAGACAGCATCTGGTCGCAAGCCTTTAGACTGGAAAACTGAGAGAAATTGGTCACACGAGGAAAGAGACCAGGGATTAGCACCATCGGCAACCAGCAACAGCCTCAGTGATGACAACGAGATATCCTTATGATCTTTAGTGGCTAAAAGACCCCAGTGAAGGTCTCGAGACTTGACCACAGCTACGCTAGCACGATGCTTCGTGATCATTTGCATCCAACTCGCAGGATTTACTTTCATCAGAGCATATGGGATAAAAATCACGTGCATCCCGTTCAGGACGCTGGTGAGGGTGCTATGCCACAGACCAACCTCTCGTTTGAAGTCCAAAACGCACACGGCGTTCTCCCCTTCCGTATAGCCACAGGCTTGCGTCAGAGCTCGACAATGTGCCAGCATCGCCGATCTTGTCACTGTCACTCCCATCACCGACCCATCTTTGTCCGTGGTATACTCTATATACGCCGGTGTGTCGTCGGTTAACCGAGGTGGTGGTAGCCAATCCTTCGGCGTTTTGCCCAAATGCTCTGTGACAAACCAATGAAGCTTTGGCCAACCTTTGAATGCTACTACCTCGCCTGCAGCCGTCTTTGGCAGACCTTTCAGACAAGCTTCGCTGGTTAATGCCACCTAGAAATGATATATATTCAAAAATAAATTATTAGAAAATTATGGAAATTAGTAATCAGTTTAACAGATTTTTGTAATGACTTGAGTTGTCACTCAATAATATTTTTTGTGCATATGATCATTGCTTAATTTTTGAAATGCGTACAAAAATATTTTTTATTCTTCATGTCATGTTTGTAAGTATTTTTATAAAATTTAAGATGAAGTAGAATTGGATATTGTATTTAGATGTTCAGAATAGATTAGCTTAAATTTAATAAAAATCTCAAGAATCAGTTAATAATTATATGGAATTGGTTTGTGTTTAGTAATTTTGATTGAGTTTTAATAGAATAAGGATAAATAAATTCAATTCTGTGCAATTATTCGAGAGCTTGGATTAGAAATGGAATTCAATCCTTATCTAATCTAAATTCAAATCCGTTCCAGATCTTAAAAATATGATGTCATATAAAATGTGTCATAAAATATTTTAATGTATTAAAAATAATAATCTTAAGAGGTCATAAAAATATGTGATAACTCCTATATTAAATAATTATTAACAAAATTATTTCTTAATTCACCTGAATTCCACAGCTGCCCAAGAGGAAACCGATTTGCTGGGAACCTGCGTCTCGACGAGTTAGGGGAACTTCGATGGGCACAGGTACAATACCAGCTTGAAGGCAACCATAGAAGGCGCACATGAAGCTTATTGGATCGTTGTTTGGATAAACCAAGGCAATTCGATCACCAGGTTTTAAACAACAATCACCGCCACGACTTAGAGCCTTGTTTAACAGTGTGTAGGCTATTTTGTGAGAACGACTTAGAAGTTTTCCATAGGTCAATGTTACGCAAAGCTTGCCATTTGGATCAAGAACGGTCGCCACTGGTGCTTTGTATGATGCCGAACCATACCTGCGATGTAAATATTTCGTGAAATATTTTCGAGATATTGTACTAGTGTTTTTAACCCTCTATTGCATTCTGTTCCCAATTGGGGATTTAAATTTCAAAGATGTGTTCCCATATGAGTGCAAAATACGGGGATACACTTATGTCAATATTTTAAAAAATAAGAATGCTGTTTTTATTTATTTCATGACCACACTCATTTTTAAGTAAACTAAGCTATATATATTTTTTTCAATTCGTCATAAAAATTCATGCAATAGAGGGGTTAAACCTTTTTCGAGATATAATCCAATTTTTATAATAAAATTAAATTCTATAACATGAAATTTCTATTTCCTCTTATATTTACAGAAAAACGCATTTTTAATAAAATAAAAAATATTTTATTTTTAAGCACATTTAAATAAAGTAAAACTCTATTTATGTGAATATATTAAAAGACAAACAGATTTATAATATAATATGAAGTTTATCTAATTTTTCCTAATATGTTTTTTCATACAATTAATAATAATTAAATGAATTGTGATATGAGAATATTTTAAATTGTATTTAAAATTCATAATAATAACAATTTTGCAAACGCAATAATTATTCAATGATATAAATATATATAATAATGTTAATTTTTTATTTTAAATATAGATAAATAAATATAGATATAAGAAAAACAAGTAAAAAAAATACATAATAGACTGATTCAATTTAAATATATAGTCCAACTTAATTGTAAATATTTTCTATAATTTTTTTTAAAAATATTTTATTTAAAAATAACTTAATTCTATCCGATTTATATCAGATTAAACAAGATAAAAATTATAGAAATTTGAATTTCTGCAAAAATATTTTATTTTTAATATGCGCGGAAGAGTATTGTCATCATGCTTAATTTAATAATTTTATAACTTACTTTTACTATATCTATTCAATACTTTTATAAATAGATATAGTTTACATTTGAGATATTGAATAATAAAGCCGAAAAAATAAATAATTGTAATTTTTTTCTACTTAAATCGATGATAAAATTTACGAATATTATAAATATTATAAAACTTAATAATATAAATGGAGTGAAAAAAATTAACGCTAAAAATTCACATAAGAATACTTGAGACAATAGATTACTAAAATTTTGTAATTCATATAAACATTCCACCGTACCTAAAAACAAAAAAGGAAGAAAGTTGAAAAGTGTAATCGACTCGTCCGGTTGCTTACCTCTGTATGGCGACCTCGAGTGACCTCGGCAGGCCCGCAGCGACCGATACTGGTTCACCGACCGCGGAGGTCATAGAACCGCCCTCGGGTTTCGGGGCGTTCGGATCTTTGGGATTGGCCGCGATTTCGAGCTCGATGTCATCGTCCTCGTAGAATTCGGGCAAGGGACGACGTTTCGGTCGTTTCAATGTATTGAGCAATTGTTGAATTTTCGCTGATACTTTCCAACGCCCGGTAGTCCCGGTGTTGTTCTGATCCTCGACGACATGGTAACGATTGACACGGTCGGCGCCCGGTCGCCTGGCCGACTGTTGTGCGGCCGGTGTGTTGCTTGTGTGTGTCACGTCCGGAGGCTGGATGTTACAGTACGCATGGGGCGTGTATTCCGCGATGTCGGTAATGTCCGCACCAGGAGGTCTCCTAGCCGGTGGTCTCGGAGGCGGAGGCGTGTCCCGCGCCGAACCGGTGCTGCTGGTATCCGACAGTCCTGTGCCTAAAATTCCCCCCCATGAATCACTTCTCTCTAGTGTTATTTCTCTGATGATGCTTAATAAGCTACTCAATCGATATTTTATGTCTGCAAAAACGACCTACGGTGTAATTGCAAAAAATTCTCCACCACTGGAAAGGAATCTTCTTAACACATCGCGAAGCACGATATGCTAGCAATGTAATCCGATCCGAGATCAAATATCGGTGAGACAATACTACTGCAATGGTAAATTTATTTCATTTTATAGTTTTTTTAAAGTAAAATTTTCAACATGTATTTTTTTTTTTTGAGATTTCTCTGATCGGAACGAGACCAAACACGATGTATTTACGTATTTAATAAATAATTTTAATTTTAAGCTATTACATATCATTCATATTATATCGTGTTTGATTTTATTTTAAGCAGAGAAATCTCAAAATATGTTGATCGCCTTTATCGATTTCAATGATCTTGAAATATATAATCAAGCACAATATTTTGAGTAACTTTTGCTTATACATATGTATTAATTATTTTTTTTATAAATTTCTGAGATATATATAAAAATATATTCATATCATAAACGATTGTTGAAAAAGAAATCGTAACTTTCAATATTCATTTTCTATTTTAAATTATAATTGTTTAATAATGTGCATTTAATGAAGCAAAGTTAGGTTATGTCAAGTTATATTTTTCCAAATACCGTAAGATCTTATTGCCAGATCAATAATAATATGTACTACTATTAGAAGAAACAGAAATACGTATGTACTCAAATGTAAATCAAATTTTTTTATATAATTTGAAATTTGAAAGTCAAGTAATGGATATTATATATATATATATATATAAATGAATTCAATGTTGGTTAATGTTGATAATATATTTTAAGATCATTGAAACTGATAAACAATTGCATTATAAATGTTTATAACTGTATTAATACTGTTTCACCGATATATTTTTTTTCGATCTTTCTTTTTATCTCTTTAATTGTTCTTTCGATCGAGGCATTTTAGAAAGAAGAATAAATATCTTTGTTGGATAATTGCAAGGTTTCGTTTTCCAATCTTTTGCAACATTCACCGTATATAACAAATCTCTTGTCACGAATATCGCGACAACAGATTTGCATTAAGTACGCGAATACAAACAGTTTCTCCATTCAATGAAAAAGTCGCATAACCAGTTCCATCATTTGCCGAATGCAAATAGATAAACGATGAAGCTCAACTAACCGAACAAATATGTATAGTCATGAAATAATCGAAAAGAAGGAAACCAAGAGAGAGAATAAGATTGAAGGACATATACCCGTTGGACCACCAGCACCAGGACTTTCTTCGGTAACAACGCTATCTTCGTCGCTACTCGATTCTCCACTATCGCGGCGCTCTCTGTCGGGACTTCTGGCCATCACGGAGGTTCTTTTTGATGGCATCGGTAAAGATGGTTTCGGACGACCCTGCATTGCTGCCAAAGCTTGTTGCACCGCCTCCTGGCGCACCTCTGTGTATTTCAGAGTCGAATAATCAAATCGAACAAGATCACAGTTTTTCGTAAATATATTATAATCATTATGAGCTAATAAAGAAAAGACACGCGAAAAAATCTTGCTACGTTCAACACCTTGATCTACGTCGTATGCGGCAAAGCTTTCAATGCAATGTCTATTGTTTCAATTCTTGGCAAGTTTTTTTTTCCTTGATATAGATACTTCATTTATTTCGAAGCTTATAAAAGTGAAGCTTGTTTCATGAGGAAAAAATCCGGGAAATTTGAAAATTTATATAACAAAAATAACAAAAATTTCCTCTAAGTAATTCATCTAGAATTTTTTAAGAAATCACCGTATCGAATTATCTTATTTCCACCGGTACACGCGTGTGCACTCTCACGTGCAACAGAGTAACTGCTCTACGTAACAAACTGCGTCCCGATGTTGTACGATGTCGTAATAACGATAGAAATATACTTAGACCGGAAATGCAACGACTCGTTGACCGAATCCACTAATCTTTTATTACGCTTCGCTCTACATTCAATCAATCTTAAATATTGTTTTGCATTCTCTCTTGAGTATAATTTCCGATTTGACATAACTCTTGGGATAAGTTTTTCAAAGAAACATAACATACATAGATACTTTGATATTAAAAAACATTTAAAGACATGTTAATTTCTAAGTTTAATAATTCATTTAATCTATTAATTTTTCAGTGATATGATAACATTTATTAAAATAAATTATATAAATTTCATAATCGGTTATTTTTGATGTAACTGTGTCTATCCAATTTTAAATTTAAATACAAAAGACAATATATCAAATAGATAGACAAATTTTTCGATTTCACAAGATTTTTATATTAAAAATGATATTTAGAAAGATATAGATATCAAGACAGAATGCATCTGAATCAAACAGATATCAAGATTTTTTGATTACTTTTCCTCTAAACTTTGGAATTAAAATATAGCATTTTCAAGCGTATTAGAAATCAAAAAAAGGAAAACGGATGTCAAGATTTTTTGATTCCCCGAACGCATTTACGTATAACCGCATTCAGACGTTCTCTGATGGGCTTATCTTCTGCGCTCCACGCTCATCCTCATCGAGCAGTAACGGTGCACCAGCTGTGAGATTGCCTGTGTGCCGGTCAAGCTTCGCTCTGCCTCTGTACAAATGAAGTTCCTATACGGACTTTTACGCACGGAGAACCGTTCGGTTTTCGTTCCGTACCGACGAACACCACCAATGTAACAGTATCAACCCGCGAGCGATCAAGAAAGCTCTTTCGACTTCAATATTTGATCCATGCCTAGTATAGATACATACTTGCTACGTTAAGCAGGTTTTTTTCATTGATGAGTAAGATAAAAGAGACGTTCTTCAAGAATTTTTTTATAGAAAAAGTATAAAAAAAATAAGAAAAAATTGAAATTTTAATAATTTCCATGTACATATTTTTTAAAATTCGATGTTAAAATCAACTATAAATATGAAATATTTTTTTCTTAAGATTTAGAATTTACAATTTAAATTAGAATTTAGAATTTTAATCTTTTATTAAAAATTTTCCTCATAAAAAGTTTATTTTTGAATTTAAAAATTTTAGATTAAATGGATGATTAATTTCACTATCAATTTCATATATTTTAATGTCTTCTGAGAACTAATTACAATATTTTCTAAAAAAAAAAAAAAAAAGAAATTAGATTTGAAATAAATCTCAAATTATAATCGTTATAATTTTTCCTGTAAAAGTTTGTAAAATACTCTCTTTTTTCTGCTCATCTATAAGAATATTCCTTTATATACTACATTATCCAATAAGTTCGTCAATTTTTAGAAACAATTAAAGTTAATTAATAACAATTAAATATATATAAAAAATGAAATTTTTAAATATATATTTATATATTTTATAAACTTATATTAATATCAAAAAACAATTTTTGATATTAACTTTATTTTTTTTAACTTTTTATTAAAAAAATTTTACATTTTTAAATAATATTTTTGAATAATAAATTGAATTTAAATAATGAATATAAAATATATTAAACATGAACATTAGTAGTTATAATTCTTTAGTTAGTTGTCAATAATTGATTATTTTCAATTTCATGAAAATAATATCTATATCAAATTTTTTCATTTCATATATAATAAAGAAAATAATTATTTCAAGTTCATATTAAAAAATATTTAAATATTGAAATATTATTAATCATTAATGAAATCTATATGTGTGCGAACTTATTAGATAGTAACTAATTAATCATCAACGTTGCTTAAAGAATATTTGCAAAAAAAAAAAAAAAAAGAAGGACTATATCTACATATCATAATCACAATCATAAAATTCTAAAAAATAGACCAGTTCCATCGTATCTAATAATTACAAGTTGAACGATTTGCTTAAAAGTAATTGCACGCATACGCGTTCAAACGCAGGAAATGCTTTATCAGAGTTGAGACCACTCGCACCGAAAGCACATTCCTTGCACTCGTAAAGCATGTTTTTGTGTACCGAGTTATAATCGAGCTTAATGCAATAATACGAACAATTCAAATTACGATTTTCAAGCGTGTCATAGCGAATTCTAACCTAAGTTTCTATAAATACATTAAATTACTACTATTTAATAAAATCTAATTGATATATGACATATTCTCGATCGATACATTCAATCGATTTGCCTGATAAAAAGTAAAAAGAGGCAATTTTTAAACTATGTATATGAGAGTATTAGTATTTGTTCGTTGTATGCTCAGTCGTTTTTTGCGCATCCCCACCACTGAAAAAACTCCTCACTCTGGTGACGATGCTGTGAACCAATTCAAAGTCACACGAAACATCGAATACATCGTAAATTTCTTCAAATGTGAACTCTCTTTCTTGTGTTCTTTTCATCTTTTGTTAATTGTCATTCTCTACGATCATCGTTGAAAATAAAGATAAGATTAGACTTGAGTTTCAAGTTCTTTACACATATATGCTCAGGAATGATTCTTAATTACGAGCTTATAACGAATAAATATTGTAAATAAAAATTGTTTCGCATTATATAGTTGATGAAAATGGCAACGCAGAATTTTATTGATCGAGAATTTGTCGCTTCTAGTTTCTATGCTGGATTAACCCTTGCGACGACGGCCTCGTTGTTAATTCCTCCATAAAATTTGAATATCCTCAAGTGATTACTCGACAGAATTGCTCCACTGCGCGGAATACTTAAATACAACTCCCGTATTCGTGCAAAACAACATAAAGGAAGAAGGCGTTTATTTCCAAAAAAAAAAAAAAAAAAAAAAAAAAGATAAAACCAATTGCCTTCTTGAATTTTAATTATTTTATAGGGATATAAAAAGCATCGACAAAAAAGAACAAAAAGAAACGTTTAGGAAGACTAATACGAAGAAGGAACGGAAGAAATGAAAAAGCAACCAATAAAGTAAAAGCCAATTTGCAAGAATATCGAACAAGAATTGAATGAAACTGTTCACTTTTATAAAAGAAAGTTGTTTATTATATTTATAATTTTTAAATTTATTTATTTTGTGTTTTTAACTTAATTTTAAATATAATATTAAAATATTAATTTTGTTGTTAAAATTAAGAAAAAAAATCAAATTGTAACTTTTATATAATTGTTTCATTTTTTTAACAACAAAAATATTGTATAAAAAAAAGTAATTACATAAATATTTTATAACTGCAATATTCATATTATTGGAAAGAACGATTTTATTTGATAAGATTTGATTAAGAAGCTCGAGCTACGTAACCTAATTCAAGATCAACTATTCTCATGAATATTAATGCAATAAAAACTTATTTTTTTTAATGTTTTTTGAATCAATCCTCTAATTAAAATAAGATCAAATATAACAAAATTTAACTTCTTTTACTTATTAAATATAATCTATTGTATATAATCTTATTTAATTTAGAGAAATGTTATAAATATAACTTCATTTAAAAAAGACAAAGATTAAGAAAATTATTGTTATATTAATAAGAAATGATAATCAATTAGATAAACTTTAATCCCACATCTTTTATAGTTATAAGATATTTATTATAATTACAATACGCTCAAAAGTTTATTATAATTTAGTTTATAATTCACAACAATCAAATCTGCTTATTACAATTTTAATTTTTTTAATCAAAACAGAAAAATTAATATTCCTACTTATCTAGAATTTTTTTCCTTTGTATGAATTATATGTTATTCCACAATGATTTTCTCCAAAAGTGAAAGATAATAATCGAAAAATTACCGTTATTCAAAGTGATAAATTTTTAACAGTTTCACTCGATTCTCGGCATCGAGTGTTCGCGGCTTCGGATAAATAAACGGTTAATGCATACAGAACCGCCGTCGTCCGAGGGTTAAAGACCCGTTAACGTCTTTTTTTTTTCGCCTTTTTCGAAACCATTTTAATCATCCAGCTGTGATGTACTCACCGGAATGATAGCGGCTCTCATTGCGCGTGAGTCTGCGATTGCCGCGTCTCGCAGCCGCCGAGTTCGAATTCCCGGTGTTTCCGGTGGAGCCGCCAGATCCCGGGGGACTGGCGATTCCTCCAGGTACTAGCCGGCCTCCTGCATGCAACACAACAACAACAACGCCACATAGACAAAAAAAGAAGGGTTCTCTATCGGGTCTCTTTGTGCCTCTTTTCTACCTCTGAACAACCCAAAGAAAGGACATTTTACCACTGTTTTTATTATCACTTTCTCGGGCTAGTGTTGTGTAAGTGGATACGGTACGAATAGCACGAGACGGATGGACAGTTTACTTCGTTTAACCTTTTAGAAACTGTTGTAATGATATTGTTCTAAAGTAAAAATAACTTTATGGAAAATTCCTTTTAGAATAAGTTTTACAAACATTGTAGAGTTTTTATAATTTTTTGTTTCTGATATTAGTGAAAAAAAAGTTTGTTGGGATATTATATATAGTATTATATCGTGTTGTATTTATTATAAAATTTAAAAAAAAATTTGTTTCAAGAAGATTAATTTGAAATGTAAAAAATTAAAATAATTTTACAAAAATAAAATTTGAATATATAATATATATAATAGAAAAAATGAAGATATATATTTAGATATATTTGAAATATTAAAATATTTTATAATATATATAAATGTATATAATATAATATAATATACAAATATTTTTTAAAAAATAAAATATATTATTTAAATATATTATTTTTGCCAAATTTTTTTTAAATAAAAAATTAAGAAAATAATTTATTATTTAAAATTATTTCAAATATCGATATTATCTATATTTTTAAATATTAATATTGAAATAACGATATTCGAAATAAATATATACATAAATTCACAAGTAAATTATACTTTACCTAATTAATTTTTGTTCTAAAAGAAATATTAAAGTTATTATTATTAAATAATTATAGGACTAACATTTTCATTGATTATACATCATATCATTTCAATTACATATTACAATATATTAAATATGGAAAATTGTAAATTTTTATCAAAGTTTGAGATACACATTGTATAATATTCTTGATAAAGTCAAATGCAAATTTTTTTGAAGATTTACTAAATTAATTTTTTGTTATAAATACTTGCAAATATTGAAAAATATTGAAAAGTAACATTTGAATATCTTTGTTACTTACGTCAATAATAAAAAAAATATTTTTTTCTATTTATTCACATTCTTTTTAGAGAAACTTACTTATCGACTGAGTCATGTCTTAATTTTAATTTGAAATATTTTTTCAAATAAAATTTATTTGTTAAATGTATTCTACATATAAAAAATTTAATCTTGTCCATTCGTTTCGATATTATTCCATTTCCCCTGTAAATTGGATATGTTTTTAAAGAACGGATTGGAAAAGGAGATTGAAGAGAATCGTTCATTCGAGCAGGGGTCTAAACGGCGCCATCGACGATCGGTCGTTCCACCTTTGGAAGCTGCGACGACGATTTCACTTTTATCGATTGTTCGCAATCCTGCAGTGGTGCAGGGAGGTCGGAAGAGGAGGTGGGTTGGTGTGACGCGATTTAATCTCGGCGACAGAACAACTTCCACGTAACTTGAACTCTACCAGCTTTCAAAGACGTTTGGAATGCAACGCGATTCCTCTGATGGTAATGCAATTAACCACCAAATCAACATCTTTTACGCTTTTATTACCGACAAAAATGCCGCGTCTCTCATTTCATCTTACTTCTATGAATTTTTAATAACAAACGTTTCTAATAATAATCCGGCTGATGGTAAATTCTTGTGCAATTTCAAATACACAATGGATGATATATACTTCCGTATATATATCATTTTTTCAATAAATTGATAAAACAATGCTTATCAATATTTATCAATTTTATAAAGATTTTTTTCTCTCAACAAAAATCATTGATAAATCGTTTAAATAGATAAACGATTTTACTCAAGTAAAATAATTAAGTAAGTAGAAATAAGTATCACCATTATCATCATCATCATCATCATCATCATCATCATTATTATTATTATTATTACTATTATTATAATATTATTATTACAAGAAAAATTTATGGATTTTGAGAATGTTACAATATAGATAATATATAATTTATCTTAATGCTTAATACATAAATATTGTATATCCATATTTATTTATTAATTGAAATTTGAATTTTTATATACAAGAAATAATATTCTTTATATTATATAAGAATTAAAGTTAAAAAAAAATATTTTTATCATATGTTCCCTAATCCATTATTTTAATTACATAACTGTTGATGTCCATACACATTGCTTAAGTTTATTATTTATCCAATTTATATTACATTACACTATCTTTCATTTATTCAATTTATAATATTTTTAAATTAAATAATAATTACTTATTTATTCATATTATTTTAATTGAAAATATTTTCAATTATTACTTATTTTATTCCTCTTCATATAATATCATTTAAAGTAGCATATCTTTCTTTACTTGGTTAAATATATGTCTATCTTTTAAATATTATTATCATATATTAATTATTATGTTGTATATATATATATGTTGTATGTATATATATTATTATAATTTCATAAATTCTAACTAATTTAAGATCTAATTAAGTTAAATTAAATTAAATTAAATTAATTAAATTCAAGTTATAATTTTATCATATAAAATAAAATAAAAAATACATTTTAAGTTTATTTATGAAATATCTTGTTTTTAAATCTATTTATCTCGAAAACATTAAAAATGGACATACAATATTTGCATAATGTTGTAAATCATATATTAAATTAATACAAAGCAATAAGAAATTTAAAACGATAAAATATAGAGTTTATTTGTTTAGTGAATATTAATGAATATTTTATTATCATTTTATTATCATCTTCCGGATAAACAACTAGACACTTCGTTTTGTCTCTTTCATAGAGAAAACGTTCATTATTCGCAATGATCCCATAGAAGTGGCTGCACGTGTCACAGCAACTTGTCGCAAAAGATTTAACGATCAGCAACTTTCCTCCACAATTGATTCGGGTGTCTAAAAATTCCTGAATTATAGTGCATTTTGAAGACTGGTCAGAATTATTATTAAATTAAAAAAAGAAAAAACAATAGAAAAAAGTAAAAGGATAGAAAAAATAAGAAACAAATAACGAATATCTCGTAAGCCATCTTTGGAAACATTATTGTATATTTTCAAAATTATCATTAAAAATTTGTGATATTTTTACATTTTTTGATAGCATTTAACGACTATAAAGTTTAAAAATAACAATTTAGCTTTATGAATCCATAGAATTAAAAGTTATGCGTATATAAAATTGGATTATTATTATTTCGACCGCCATTATGATTTTCTTCACAGTCTGTCCAATGAAAAGAGTTCTCACGATGACGTCACGTATCGTAAGTACATAATACGATACGTTATCGATATCTGGAAAAATTTTCTTTTCGTTATCTAAATTTGAAATTTGGATTAGGTTTGAATCTACGCAAAGAAATAAACTTATAATTGTTACGTGAGTCGATAGCTACCATAATTATTAGATGCTGGTAAAAATAATAAATGTAAATAAGACATATATAATGTACTAAATTATATATTTGATGATCTCTTCTCATTAGACAAGCTATAGATTTAATTATTACGATAATTAAATTACAATAAGTATTTTATAATTGCAAAAGATTCGTTTCCACTATTGCAGAACATAATTTTCATAAAATTACCGATACCATAATTTTTTTAAAAAGTATAAATCCTTAAGATTGTACTTAATCATAGTATCTGAAATAATAATCCAATTTATTTTTTCTAACAAGAACATCTCAAAGAAAATAATAAAAAATTTCAATCCTCTTGTATTTCTTAATGATAAATAGATTTTTACTTTAATTAATAATACCAATCTGTTCCACTTCCGAATATTTCGCAATTATAAAATATTTATACTACAATCCATAAGATAATCAATGATTTTACATTACTTTGCACAACTTTTCATCCTATTTATTCTCAAAAATTGTTATTCCTCTGGAAACAACTCCATTTTAATCGCTATCAAAATATCTAAAAATATCCAACAAATTTTTTCTCCTCCTCCTCTGAGAGAGAAAGAGAAAGAGATAGAGAGAGAAATAAATTTTAATTTTAATCATCATCCATCCCGACGAGCAAATATGAGGAAATACCGAGGTTCACGATCGTGGTACGGTCGGATTCTCTATTCTTGAACCACCACACGAGTCGACTAATAGCCGATACGGAAAAATCTAGATGTTGCGGCCAGATCCGCGAGTGTGTCGAGTCGCAAGAATGCCGATGGATGGCTGGCTGCGATCTCGAGTCACCCGTAAGGTGGAACAACCGGTCCCGGCTAAGTCGAATTACAAAGGTATCTATAAGGTGTAAAAGCATCTCTGCGCGAATCGGTACGCACGAAGGGATTATACAAGCAAGCGAACTACATTCAAGAAGAACATGATAACCTCTTCAAGCTCTGTGCTAATCGATATCGATCACTTTTAAATTGGACAAGTGAATAATTATTTTGGAAAACTGTTAATCCTGCAATGTACCATCGTGCAAAAGATAAATTCATATGTTACATATTATGTTATGTATTTAATAATTAAATGGAGGGAAAAAATTTTATATATGTTTTGCGATATAGAATAATAAAAAATAAACATTGTACGAGAGTTTTTTGATATTTTTGATACCATTGCACAGTTAATTTTAATTTAACATTAAATCGCATAGAAATGAATTTGCTTATCGACGATTCAAAGAATCTTTTTTTTTTTTTTTTTGATTTAATTTTTAATAATTTAATCGAACGATACAAAATGTACAAAATTAATGGGGAGGGGGGGAAGAATATTATTCGTTTAAATTACGTTGAAAGAGCAACTTGGTAAATATAAAAATGTAAAAATAGAATTACCGTAATCGGCATAGAACATGAAGAGGTTGAATCACACGTGTGTATATATATATATATATATGATCACTACTGATGAGAATGATTTACGGATTATTGAGATTATAATTACGGATGAATCGTGAACCGTGAAGTGATGATGGCTCGAGGA